AAGAAAATGTTCTAGCCGAAGCATCAGGGGAGAGACCAGCCGGCCCCCAGACCATATCGGCTAATCCCTTGCATCTCTGCCACGCACGGAATCGGTTGAAAAAGTGATGTTAAAAAGCCTAGTCTATCTGGTGCATTGTTTTCACGCCTATTGTTATGCTGATTCCGTAGGTTCGTGCTCAGTCGAAAAAACGCGGGCATCGATCGCCTCGCAGATACCAAGTCAAGCCCGGCAAGGGGGATTGGTATTTAGATGGGTGACCTAAACGTGATACCTACTCAAACAAGATTTTGATCGTAAATTTTCTTTTTCTATGCAGTAAACTGAACAAGGCTTGAAGTTTCTCTAGAAAATAATTCTTTGAATCGAACAGAATTTGTTACAGAGAATCTAAAAACAACTTGCAGAGCCGCACTTAATACGCGCCTCGTCTATATATATTTGTTGTATTTTGTTTTGCGTTTGTTCAAACATATATGTAAGTTTTCGAGTAAGTTTTCGATTAAGAAAAAGGTCCTTTCAACTGATTGTGAAATAGTCATGGTAGATCTAGATGGTCGTTCAGTGAAAGAACCTTCGAAACTCAGTCATAATCAATTCTTAAACTGCCATGTTAATTTCATTGGTTTTCTTTTGATCTGCTTTATTTATAAATACAGATCTCCCGCTCATATTTCATCTACTACATAAATTTTGGTCATGGTTAAAGTTGACCAAAATATGCAGCTTTTGAAAGTTGATCAAGGTGGCCTTACGCTTAGTTCATATCCAGTGAAAGGACCTTTGAACCTTCTCATCAACTCATCATCATCATCCTCAGATTTTCCCCCTAGGCTCGTCCTTAACCTTAGGGCACAACTGCTCCGGGAAAACGTTCTCTTAGCAGATGTTTGAACTTGGTTTTGTCCATCATCATTTTCCTGGCTTGCATTGGATCTATCTGGAGGAGATCCTCAACTACTTCAACAACTGTTGAACCATATTCTTCTATTAGGTTTCTTTTGAGCTATCTTATTTTAAATTTTGGTCTGTCTGCGTTGACCACTGARACATATAACATTTGGATTCAAAAAAAGAAAAGTTTGATGTTACTAAAATATTTCCTTTTGTTCTCTATCTAGATAAAAAGGACCTGATTAGTAGCTTCAAAAGTCCTTTCACTGGATGTGAACTTTATGCTAGCAAAATATATAACATATATACTTAATTTGGTAAATGGTAAAGAAGTAGGTCCAAAGGTGGAAGGTTACAATCTGGTTTTTAATATAAGTCAGAACAATGGTAAAAACGGGTTGGTCTCCCTGTTGTATCTTCACCTTCGTCGCATCACAGGTCCATTCTTTTAAATAGTAAAAAATAAACGCACACTCTAAATATATGTTTTGAACACCCATAAAAATCACTACTCACGTTTTTTGTTTTCACTTGAATAGCATTGATGCGGGGATACTGTACAGAATATCTGTCCCTTTGGAATAAAGACTTTCTTTTTACCCTTTGAGGTATCTATGGTAACGGTACACCGCTCCGCTATCGTCTGTTTCAACTTGTTATTTGGCATGAGCACGAGTGAGGAGTTTTCGCCTGAACGTCTTTTTTAATTCCTTGTTTGATAAAAGAAGAGATGGAATGAGTTAGTTAATAGTAAATGGAATATAAATTTTACAGATTCTCACCGTGTACCCCTTGAACTAATCAATCTAATAAAAGCCATAATTTTTCGATAATCGTTTGAAATAACTACGTCAAAGTAATTTTTCTAGTAGTGTTAGACTTTTCTCTATGGTTTCGAGTCGAAATACTAAAGCAAAATGTTTACTCATTCCGACACTCCACCTAGTAAAAGTCCGATCCAAGGAGTGAATCCAGATTGGGATTTTCCACAATTTTCGATTTTGAGGCAAAAAGTAACAAATTCTAAAAGAGCAAGAGAGATTGGGATCAATGGTGTAATTTGTTTTGTTTTGGTCGTAAAGTCAATGGATCTAAAAGCATCAAAAGTATGGACCCGCAAGCCACTCGTACGCCTATACRACACACCCACCTCCCCAAAGGTACTAGGTACTACAATTGGCCTCTCTGGGGCCAAACTCTGGGCTTAGCTTACAATGAAGATTGAAAGGGTCTCCTTCCTCCGCAAAATCAAGCCAAACATACTAAAATCGAATGCGATCTCTGTTTTAGCTGCACTGTGACTTTGATTTGCAGGAGTATCGATAAAATGATAAGGATTATCCAAATGTAGTTTCTATATGTGGTMTATGGATCAATCGTAATATTTTTTGTTACTCGATATTTCCGGCGCGCTATCGATCGTCGAATAACACAATATCAACCCGGGCTATTGTCCTATAAGATAACTAAACGCATGTGGAAACTATACGTGTTTCAAAGCGAAGGTTTAGAAACATATAGAAAAGGACTACATCCCGGGCGGAGAGTGATACACGTAAAATACAGTAAATGTATGTAAATTGGTCTGTGAGGGGGCTGTGAAATGCACTCTACGCCCGTGGTATAGCTTTTTCATCAAAACACCCCATTCAATCACAAACCAAGCCCTGTTATTCGTTCTCCTTCCAGTTGGTTTTATCACGAAGCAATATTACACTAAACCGAGGCTAATGAGRATRGATTTCTAATCGCCAAACTCATCATGGACGAAGCGACGAACAACAATTTTAAGACGAAGTTGGAGACATTTTATCTTGATAATAGACGGTATAGTGGGATGAAGTTAATTCTATGACAAAAGCTTAAAATATATCAACATTTTTTGAAATAGGTGTGTAACCACAAAAAGACTCAATCGAGTTTGTTTGGTGCTTATTCTTGAAAAAGGATACTCTTACGTATGGTCATTTGAAAAAAGGATACCTTTAAATATGGTCAAGTATACCCTTAAATACGGTCAAGGATATCCTTAAATGTAATCAAGTATATCCTTAAATATGGTCAAGGTCAAGGATATTTATTCACAAGCTAATCCTAACATTCTTTATCCTTGCAGTTAATTTGATCTCGAAGCAATCGTCAATAAACCGAGGCTAATGAGGATAGATTTCTACCCGCTAAACTCATCATGGACGGAGCGACGAACAACAAGTTTCAGACGAAGAAGGCTTGTTGTATCTGACTGAAATTGAGTCTAGGACGGGATTAGTCTGTCCCTTGAGTTTTCACATTCATACAGAAGCTACGTTTTATGATTTTTTCAATCTGCAAGAGGTAGGAATTRATAAAATGTAAACCAGATGGGTTTCAAAGCGATACCAAGGTACATAGCAATGAAGACTACATCCCGGGCGGAGAGAGATAGAGGTAAAATACAGTAAATGTATGTAATTTGTGCTGTGAGGGGGCCGTGAAAAGTACTCTACGCCCGAGATATAGTCTTTTTCTAAAAACACACCATTCAGTCACAAGTCATGCC